GTAGTCCATTAGCAGTAAAATGAGCAATCACAAATGGTGGGCTTTGTACATGTGATGGTTTAAAGAACTAAATGGAACCAGTGGTGCCTCCACACTTATGGGGAAAAAGAAAAGGCATAAAGGTTTTTTTTCCTTTTATTTCAGCTTGAGAAAAAACTCATTTATGTATCTAAGAAGTTTAGAAACACATACATTTTAAAACACCCACTGTTCTCTGATTGGTGCCATGTAACAAAGCCACCAGAAGATTCAGGAAGAAACACTGCCCTCTTTTATGCCTGAACCATTCTAGTAGGAATGAGAACAGAGCACATCCTTTTAGTTTCCAGTTTCTCAGGCTGTTGGCCCCTGGGCAAGTCTGTCAGCACCCTCATCTCACCCGGGCCTCTCTGCTAGGTGAGTGGCTCACACTCTCCTCAAGCCTCTACCACCTCCTCCCACCTCCTCATTTCACCCAGAATCCTCTTTCTCCGGGAAGATCAGCAACATAAAAAAAAACCTCCACAGATTTTACATCCACTTTTCACTGTGGGATTATTTGGAGGTGGAGAGACAAATTTTACTCCATTCCACTTCTTCATGCTGCTGTTATATTTACACTTCAATTTTGCAATTATTAATCTATAAGTCTCTGATTATAACTTACCCCAGATATTTATACTTTTGTTTTATCAATTCTTATGCTCCTTTACTGAAACATGTTTAATTTTATTTTTACGTATTGTAGTAAATATTGGATATTTATTCATTATACTAAGAAACAGAGATACATAAAATAATAATTTTCAAAACCAGGAAGGATATTGGAAATGTTGGTTAGTATGTTAAATTAGACCTTAATGAAGAAGTGAGGGTATGTGCAAAGACAAAAGCTCATGGCTGTTCACCAGAGGGTAATTTATGTAAAGTGGCGATGGGGACCATCTAAGAGAATTCATAGGTGAGAAGGTTGTCAAGGACCATTGCTCCTCTCCTGCTGGGTGGTTCTGCCCCATCTCTGAGCTCCCTGTATGAGGAAGGAGATGAATGAGGTCACTTGGGAAGACACGGGGATAATCCACACAACATGGACCCCCTCAGGGTGACGCATCTTCTCTGCATAAGGTGGGGATCTATGCCCATACGTCTACTCCACACACATGGCCCGGGCTCTGCTTCTGGTCGTAGACAAAGGAGGTATGAGCATTTGAAGATGAGGAAAGGAATAAAGAACAGATTCTTAGGAAGGGGTATGGTGGAATGTGGACCAGGGTGGAGCTCTACCTGGGGAAGTTGACTAAGGGACACGGGGATCGCAAGTGTAGGTGGAATTTCCTCCCTGTCCTCTGAAAATACAGGGACATTAGGGTGTGGAGAAATAGTTAAATTACTCTGATGGCAAAAACTCAAAGGTTTCAGGGTCTCCTGGGGAGGCAGAGGACGTAACACATGGAAATGTTGGGGAAGGAGAAGTATCTAAAGCAGACAGAAATGACACCTCTGCCTGGTTATTGTGGGTCTGCACACAGGCCATCTACCCATCCACAGGGCAGTTGTCAGCAGAATCTGAAGAGTGTGGTTAAATGAATGGCTGAGGACATGAGGAAGATGGGTGGGTCCAGAGAACCTGCAGGAAAATATGCTCCCATTCTCAGCTCAGAGAAGCCTCTGTGAGCTTAGACACCTGTCCTCTGTCATCCACCATGTCCCTTCCAATTTGGGAAAGTTCCGCCTGTGGCAACATCAGGCCTGATGTTACAGGAGTGGCATTGAGTCCTCAGGCTTCAGCCCAGTGAGGTTCAGGGAGCCGGGGTTGTGACTTGAGCCAGATATCAGTCAGGGATGCTGAGAGTTAACTACTATCATAACAGATGAGGGGTTTGGGGACTGTTGCTGGGACCACATAGTACCAAGACATGCATTGGACACTTGTGATGTGTCCTGAATCACACACAGCTCGACTCTGTGTCCCTGGTTCTGTTCTGACTCATCATGGTCTCTGTTCCCAGGGCATACAGCCCCACATCCAGGAATTGCTGCTCAATTTGAGAAAAATCTCACAATGTGTAGCTGCCAAGGACAGGCTTGCGGGGTAGAAGTTAAAGGATGGGGACAGATTTTCCAGACAAAGTTCCCTGTAGTGGGTCTCAGGCCCCAGTATTAGGCCAAACAGTCAAAGTAAGCAGCTGTCTTGTCAGAGGAGTGAGGGCTGCTGAGGGAAGCCCCATGTAGATGGGACAGTAGGTTTTTGTCTCACTTCCCCACAGGCCTGGAGCACTGTGCGACCACTCAGACTGTCATCATAGGACTCGCAGTAATAATCGGCCTCGTCCTCAGCCTGGAGCCCACTGATGGTCAGGGAGGCCGAGTTGCCAGACTTGGAGCCAGAGAATCGGTTGGAGACCCCCGAGGGTCTTTCATCATCACCATAGATGAGGAGTTTGGGGGCCTTTCCTGGGAGCTGCTGGTACCACTGCACACTGTTACCCCCGATGTTGGAGCTGCTTCCAGCACAGGAGATGGTGACACTCTGTCCTGGGGCTCTAGACACTGAGGGCGGCTGAGTCAGCACAGACTGGGCCCAGGATCCTAGAAGAGGGAGAGACACAGAGATGGTGATTCTGGGTCTAGAGACAAGAGGAGGAAGCAGGGCCCCGTGTGTCTTCCCAGGGTCCCCTCTCCTGTCCCCGTATCCAGTCACCTGTGCAGTGAGCGATGAGGGTGACGAGGAGAGGGGACCAGGCCATGGTGGAGACGGTCACTGAGTCCTGCCTCTTGTGGCCCCACAGCTGAATCAGAGCTTCCACAAATCTCTCCCTTCTATTCATATTCAGAGAGAGGGAGGGTTTGCTCATGCAAATGAGGCCCCCTTCCCCCAGCTTTCTGATTCCTTAGTGGCCCTGGGTCAAGTCCCTCTGCCTGAGCAAGTCAGGGGGCTGGGCAGGGTTGTGGCTATGTGTGACACGGGGTGTGGGGAGGTCACAGC